CAACTTCAGGGCTACTATTTCACAACGAAAAGTGAGATTGACCGTTATATTATAATGCCCTCATGGCTGAAATGGCAAGCATGTATGATGAAAGGAGTTGAGCTCGCGAAAGGTATATTGAAATTTTAGCAAACCAACAGATAAACAAAAGCATTCCTATTTTTCTCAACTGTTTTTAAAAGATGGTAAATATAAGTGAATGCCTGCAATTTACTCACATAATTTTGAGGATGTTTTTGCTCTTTAAAATGATCGCTAAAAAAGTTTTTTTTTAATTTTTTCCTTATCTGAAACAGTCTAAAATTACGAAATATTTAACAAAAGTAAAAAACCGTTATTGTCATTTATGACTACATGTGATTATTTGTAGTAACTAATGATACTGTTAGAAGATTTAGTTAAGTTCTATCTTATTTCAAACATCACAGCAGAGATTATATTTCATTAGTACCTTAAGCTAAATAATTATCATTAAAAAGTTTTCAAACAGACTTTGTACCAAATTATTAACACGTTTTCATGGATTGACAAAACTTATTTATAAAATATTTCTAATTCTATTCAGGATTTAATTCGTTAGTCCGTTTCTTTTAGAGCAAAGCCACATTGGGCTATCTGCTGTGTCCAACACAGGGAATCTAGCCCCGGATTTTAGCGTTGTAACTTTGTAAACTTATTGCTGTCCCATCGGGGGGGTTCAAGATTTCAAATGTAGTTTGTTTGTTGAATTTAATGCAGAACTACTCCTGCGCTATCTGTCCCTACTCTTTAAGAGATAGACTAGAGGTGAGGTAAACAGTCAACACCACCTAACTCAATCTCTGTGGTTACTCTTGTCACATCGAATAATGGAATTTCGTAGTCATTTTCGTAATGCACCCACTACCTAATTAGAGGATGGTGATTTTTTAGTTATAACGGGACGCGAACATAGAACTTGAAATACACAGACTAGTACGCTAGCCACTCAGCCCTTCAAATATATATTCTTTTGTTACTTATTTGTAAATTTTGTGAAATTGTTGGCTAATTCTTTTTAAAAATGAGCTTACCATTAAAAAGTTTGAGCTACTAAAAACAAATACTGAATTGTATTACACTGAAATAATGAAGATTTATAAGGAAGCGAAGTTCAGCTTTGAATGGAGGTAGTATTTGTTATGAAATCTGTAATTCAAAGGTTACTTGAACATTTTATTTTTTCTTCTATTGTTTTGTTTCAAGTTAAGAACAAAGCTGCACAATGGGATATCTGTGCTCTGCTCATCACAGGTATCGAAAACCGATTTTTAATGCTATAAGTCCGTAGACTTACCGCTGAGCCACTGGGGGAATGGGGGCTCTATTATTGTTCCACGTTGCTATCCAAATCACAATTTGCTATTAAAAGTTAAAGCTATATATAAATCACTAAGTTTAAGAGTTGCACTTGCTGTAGGAAATGTACTCTTACTGTATCATGAGCCCCACCCCCAGTGGCCCAATCTGAAAGTTGATAACTCCAAAAACTGGATTTCGATACCCATGGTGGACACAGCTATCAATGTTTAGCTTTGTGCCTACCAACAAACAAAAATATTATGTAAGTTATGTTATGAGATATTTGGACTTAAAAATAAACTGTGTTACTGAGAAAAACAACTGAGGAATATTTTTTTATTGAACTGGATAAGTAAAAGAAGCGAAATATGGAAGTTAACAAAACGTTTCTCAGTTGTTGTTTTTTTTACATAATTTTGCACACACACTCCCATTGGCTCAACGGTAAGTCCGCAGACTTACAACATTAAAATAGCGGTTTTCGATACCTTTGATGAGCACAGTACGGATAGCCCATTGTATATTTTTGTGCTTAACTGCAAACAAATAAACATGATTTTATTTATTTATTTCGGAAACTGTCTTTGAAATATAATGTAATCAGTTATTGCAAATGAAGAAGTTGCATAAAAAGCTCATGTTTCTTGGGTAGTGCTCGAGTTATTAATTTAAATTAATATGATATACTATTTTAAAGAAATTAAAATCTATGTATTTAACTTACGTTAAAACTTTATAGATAAATAAAAATTGTCTATTATTTATTTTGATAATTTAAAATACAATGGTTTTACTCCAACTTTAATGTCTTCGGCAAAGACGTGTTTGTTTTAGAACAAAGCCACATTGAGATAACTGCTTTGTCTACTATGGGGAATCGAATCCCAGATTTAAGGGTTGAAAGTCCGTAGACTTAATGCTATCTCCTGGGTGACTTTCGTCAAAGAGGTCTCGGCTATTGTTAAGATCCAAATTTTTCTTTTTATTGCTATTATTAGCATTATTGCAAATTTTGTGTGCGTTTTGAAACTGTAAAACAATATTTATATTACAGCTTGTTCATAGAACGATATCTTACCATTTTGTTACGCTTTGTTTTATTGTACTTGAGTTATAATTATTGATATTTTAGTGGCTCAGAACTTATAACGCTAAAAACCGGATTTTGATACAGTGGCGACCACAACACGTATAAATAACCCTTTGTTTAGCTTTGCACTTAGCAACAAAACAAATAAAGTTAATATAGAGTATTATTTCATTATTCCCAATTAAATGAATAGTTAGTTCTTTATTGGAATAGTGTAAACTCTAGATAAAAATGTGACTAAATATTTTTAGACATATTCTAATATCAAATAGTTGTGTGTATTAACCCTGAGGAAGCAAAGGTGAAATGTTGGTTAAAGTATATAAAAAATATTATTATATATATATATATGGAGTGTAAAGGTCGTTTTTTCTAAATTTTTTATCGAAACATATTATAGCAAACTGCTGTGGAGCACAGTTTAGATTTAAAAGTTATGTTTCAGAGAATAATACAGTCTAACACAAGCTCACTGTAATTTGAAGATTGATAACAGAGACATTGTGGTTTTCAGATCTGGTAATAATATGTTTTACTTTTGATGAATCTAAAATAATTATTTATACTATATTAATTGTTATAGTTAGCTCTTAGAATGTTATCATAAAAAGTTTAGAAAATTACGTTTATCATTTAAGATTATTCTCCCTGAAACACCTCTTCCAGCTACATTTACTGTGAGTAATTCTTATCATATCATATTAAAATGGTGTATACCTGATGGCCAGATGGTTAGGGCGCTTGACTTGCAATCTGAGGGTCGCGGGTTCGAATCCCCGTCCCACCAAACATGCTCGCCCTTTCAGCCGTAGGGGCGTTATAATGTGACAGTCAAAATCATTATTCGTTGGTAAAAGAGTAGCCCAAAAGTTGGCAGTGAGTTGTGATGACTAGCTGTCTTCCCTCTAGTCTTTCACTGCTAAATTAAGGACTGCTAGCACAGATAGCCTTCAAGTAGCTTTGCCCGAAAATCAGGACTTTACTTGCAGTTCGAAATACTTTAAGCACTGAGCCATTTAACGTTCTATAATAATAACAAAGTAGTATAAAACTGATTCTCTGTGGTAGAGTAAACATTCTAGCGTTTGTAATTTTTATTTAACAACTGGAAACTTTTGACATCTGTTATATAGCATATTGGAAAAACAATCATTGGAGATATATTCTTTATGATTCAAAGTCTTGTTTGTGAGCTTCAACATATTTGTTTACAATCTGAGTTTTAAAAGACGGATGTAGTCCTACCGATGTCGTCCACTTTAATAAACGGAACGTGATGAATCACGTCAGCTTAAGTCAAAGATTTAAGTCTTGTTTGTGAGCTTCAACATATTTGTTTACAATATGAGTTTTAGAAGACGGATGTAGTCGTACCGATGTCGTCCACTTTAGTAAACGGAACGTGATGAATCACGTCAGCTTAAGTCAAACATTTAAGTCTTGTTTGTGAGCTTCAACATATTTGTTTACAATCTATGAGTTTTAAAAGACGTATGTAGTCGTACCGATGTCGTCCACTTTAATAAACGGAACGTGATGAATCACGTCAGCTTAAGTCAAAGATTTAAGCCTTCACAATGTATAATCATAACGATAGTAAATCAAATTAAATATATTTGAATTTGACACATAAAAATCGCAACGAAATTAAATTTCAACACCAATATGCCCAAAACAGTATTGGTTTATTGTGTCGTTTCATACTTCTTTGTGTGTTATCAGTACTACAGGGCGGTGACTCAAAAACGCTGTTTTACAGATACGTAGAATCACTCTTACCTGTCATGTGCAATAAGAGCCTCTTGGCTACTAACTTAGTATTGTTATGATATCAAAATCAAAATAAACGCATCTTAGAGTAGTCAATATTTTCTCTTCATGTAACAAACAAACCATTGTATAAATACAGTAGTAACAGTTTACTTAAAATCAAAGCAAACGCAACTTAGAGTAGTCAATATTTTCTCTTCATGTAACAAACAAACCATTGTATAAATACAGTAGTAACAGTTTACTTAAAATCAAAGCAAACGCAACTTAGAGTAGTCAATATTTTCTCTTCATGTAACAAACAAACCATTGTATAAATACAGTAGTAACAGTTTACTTAAAATCAAAGCAAACGCAACTTAGAGCAGCCAATATTTTCTCTTCGTGTAACCAACAGACTATTGTACAAATAGTAACAGTTTACTCAAAATAAAAACAAATGAAACCTAGAGCAGCCAATATTTACCCTTGATGTAACCAACAATCCATTGTATAAATAGCTCTGTACCTCTTCTCAACTAGAACCAATTAGTGAACACTCGATCTTCTGAAAGAGTAGCTCACGGTCTCACATTTCCCTTTGTTTTGTACTTTGAATTCATCCATATACAGAGAACGTCGTTAGAAAAGGACCATTTACACTTTCAAGAAAAGCTGTTGACATGTTAATATTCAAGTTTTACTATGACTGTCTCAGATTTTAAAACTTTATGCAGTACCACTGTTGCCTGTACCATAAATATAAAAGAAACCGTCTACATTCAAAGTTAGCAACTCAGCGTACAATGAAAAATTGTTAGCCGTAAAGTATATTACTTACCGTCATCTGAGTCGTACAGATAAATGATATGTTTCCATTGGTAATGTTTGATGACATCGATGATAGCTCGGAGATAGTTTGGTCTCATGCTGACACCGTAATGACAAGGACGTTCGGCAGACAACTGAGGGAATGCAGGGCTGACAAAGGGCATGTGAAAAGTGTTGGTATAAGAAGCGAAGGTGTCGTAGATGGACTCTTTTGTTGGCGCCATCAGGGTGAAAATTCCTTTGCTCATCTGGATACAAACTAAATTAAAGTAACAGTGATTTTTACTTATATATACATGTAAGATGGTCTTGATATGAAATATAATTCAAATGCTACTTCATTGTAGTCGTTACTGTTTGTACTTATTTCCGTTGAATTATGATATTCTTAAAACAAATTGAAGTGTTTGCTTAATAACATAATTTTATACCAAAATATATTGTGATTGAGAGAAGGGATGATTTATTTTCTAATTCTTGAGCACGTAATCCAAGTAGAAATATGAAATGTATTACTATAATAATAGCTATTTCTTCTCTGTCTAAGGATGCAATAATTTCTAAAGTGTAATCCAGGAACTGTAGACGAATGCTAGGTTCATAAAGCTAATTTCTAATTAGTTTTTAAATGAAATCATTTTTGTACTCTCCCTACAATTGATAGCAAATAGTTAAAGTTAAAATCAGCTTCCTAATTGTTGAATTTTCCGTTTAATAATTTGGAAGTAACTTGTACTGAATTTCGTATGATAACTTGTTCAGACGCCACGTTCGTTATCTACACTTTAAATTTTTGTTTAGGCGTTTTTTTTTTTTCTTGTAAGGATTTAAACACAAGTTATTTTTCGTTATAAGTAATCAACTTGTGTTATGATTCACAACCATTTAGACTTTTGTAAAACGTGGACTGGTCGGTCGCTCTTGTGTATCTGACCATGAATACAAGTTGCGGGAATACATTGGTCAATAAAGTTATTGCGTTCGTTCTGATGGCCTTTACAGCTGTTCAGGAGCTTGATTGCCAGAATTTAAGTGTACTTAAAACAGAAATAGAGAAGGCTTAGAAAGTCAATCTAATACCTTCTTGTTCAGTAGTTGTACAAGCAGACAAGTATAATCTCATAAGCAGAAACATCAAAATATTCCGTTCAGATTACGATGAAATATTATCATTTGGTTAGTCTTTTCTAAGGAGATTATCATAATTCTCATTTTCAAATCCTCTGCATTATAGCAAATTATACAAAGCTAATAATATAATAAAGATACCTAGCTCATTATATTTCATGTCTTAAAATGTGCATAAAAACTAACATATATAAAACTTGTCCGATAATAACCTAGATCACGAAATATAATCACAGTTATTTAAATTACGTTTTGATTTTGTATATGTTAACACATAAAATATTACACTAGTGTGAATTTGCAATTTAAAGAAGTTGTAAATTGTAAAGCTCGCTTTGCTTTGTTTTCACGATGAAATTTTATCTTGAATTGGAAATTAGAAAATAAATATAAGAGAGTTCTAGGATTAAGAAATGAACAATGTATGGAAGATTAATTAATTACACTTTCAAACAAAGATTATATGTTAATCCAGCGGTATGTCGTCATAAATGAAAAACCTAGTCATATTTGATTCTTAACGAATTTTGATCATATAGCAGACTTATAACTGGAGAAGTATTTCATAATTCTTTTCGAGGAATCTTACTCATAAGAGGAGATTGTTAAACGACGTAGAAAAAAGGGAACAACTTTACAAAGAAAGTCTTTGGTATTCTTCATGGAAGTGAAACAAAAATCCACAGCAGAAGTTAAAGGCAGAAAGGTCCCACAGCTTATTTTCTACGTCATTCTTTAGCAATACCTTACTCAGATATATTTACGAAAGAGAACCATTCGACTCATTGAAGCTATGTATATCTTCCAGTGCTGTTAATAAGATACCAAACAAATATTTCAAGTTGACAAAAGCTCATAAGCCAACATTTCATAAGTTTTTAGCTGTATCTTAAAATTAGCAGCTGTTTCCGCGTGAAAGATTGACAGAGAAACTAAAATCACAGCTATCCATTAAACCATATTTGGAGAAAATATATCCATTAGAATTGAGAACTAGTAGAAATAAAGGGTAAACTTTACGAAGAAGAAGGCCTTCGGTTTTATTCATGGAAGCGAAACAAATATCTACAACAGAAGTTAAAGACAGGAAGGACTCAGACCTCACTTCTACGCCAATCCTTAGCAATACCTTACTCTGCTTTATTGACGAAAGAGAACCATTCGACTCATTGAAGCTATGTATATCTTCTAGTACTGTTATTAAGATAATACACAAATATTTCAAGTTGACAAAAGTTCATAAGCCAAAGTTAATAAGCTTTCAGCCATGCCTCAAATTCATCAGCTGTTTCTACATGAAAGATGGCCAGAGAAACTAAACTTACAGCCATTTATTAAACCACATTTGGAGAAAATGTATCCAGCAGAATTGAGAACTAGTGCTTGTCAAAATATTTTAATAATATAACGTAAGAAATGAAAGTTGACTTTATCCAACATATGTACGTGCTAAGAACAATCTACTGCTTGTATGATTTCACTGAATAACTTAGAATAAACAAAATCCATTTTTTACAGTCTTGTTTGTCGTATACTTATGAAATATATTATAGAACAATTTATCAAGAAAGGAGTATTTTGTATTTGATTAAATGATGTTTCAGTGTATTTTCGAGCCAATTCTATAGCTAACCCTAGGGGTATATTTCTACATACAAAAGTTTCTCGTTAATTAAACGACAAAATTTGTTTCTGTTCGCGCTTACAGATAGCGAAGTCATCTTATAGTTTGACCATATTTTTCTAAAGTAGATTGTTTTATACGGTCATGTGATGTTGTTTTTGTTAACTTCATAGTGTACCTAATTCATTAGAATTAAAACAATCTGAGATGAAATTGCAAGTTTTATTTGGATTCAAGTATGTTTTATGGTTAGGTTAATTTTTTTTTCACATACAAATATTAATGATTTCAATCGATTTTTGTTTGTGCACTGAGTGGTCAAAAATAAATAGACACCTAATTTTTCGTCATTTAACTGATTTATGCTAACTACTTTGTGTTCACAGAGCACTATATAAATCAAAATGGTCCGCACACTAATTATATTGTGCTACAACATGCCTAGAACTCAAGGTTCTCTCGAATTGTCAGATTTTGTTAGAGGAAGGATACTTGGTCAAGCAGATGGTGGAATAAGTCAGCGGCAAATTTCGCAGAATTTGGGAGTCCCGCTTTCGACAGTCAACAGAATCATCGTGCAGTTCAGGAAACACGGCAAGCAAACAACTGAGCAGCGTCCGGGTCGTCCTGGTACATCGGAGAGGACAAAAAGGGCTGTCAAGAGAAGCATCGAAATGGATCCCAGATTAACGACTGCAGAAGTAGCCAAAGTTAGTGGGATGAGCCCGAAATCTGTTCAACGGATTCTCCACAGATTGGGTTATCATTGCAGAGCAACTAGACGGAAGCCCTTATTAAGACCTGCCAACATAGTCAGACGAAAGAAGTGAGCAAGTGATATGATGACCAAGCCTCTGAACATTTGGAAAACCATATTGTTCTCAGACGAATCAGAATTCGCCCAATTTTTCGGACAGTTGAAGGATATGGGTCTGGAGAATGCCTCACCAAGAGTTTTGGCTCAACAGATTACAGCCAACTGTGAAGCATGGTGGTTTCAGCTTGATGGTTTGGGGAGCTGTTTGGATTGGTGGGAGGTCGC